CTTGTTAACGAACGACTACTCCAAAATTCTTGTGAAAGTTATCTTTACCTTATTAGAAAATATATCTAAATTATTCCTTTAGTTTTGTTCTATCTCACCTGGTTTCGTTTCGTTTCGTTTCGCAAAATAGTGTAAGCCCATTGAGTTGCAGGTATGTAAAGCTTCTGTGGATTCCTTTTTTATATCCTTGTAAACAGTGTAGTACTTTTCGTTTTCTACTGAAGCTCGTGCTGTCCTTGTTTTCTGTTCTATAAAACTATCTTAAACGAATGCGTCATTACACTTCAGTTTTATTTATGGCTAAACCACGTTCGCTTCTATGCAAACCCAAACCAAGTCGTCAAATGCAAGGTATTTGCAGTACACCACAGTTATACTGATGACGTCCGAGGTTAGGGTGGCCGAACGAAAATCAAACGAAGGTAGCTTTGATGGCAAGTTTTCTAAATAAAGTTCGGCATCTAGATACTAGTAAATGCTAATGTTTTGTCGTTTAAACAAGGGTAAAACTTATTGTGCCTCTCCTCCCACCTGGCAAGTTCTTCTGTTAGAGGTGCCATTCATACTTCTTATATGAAAAGAAATAGTCTTTTTGAGAAAAGAGAATTATAAATCAGCCAAGTGCAATATCGCATTTGAACTTAAGGGATTGCTGGTAAGTCAAAAAAGGATTCATTTATTGACTGAGGCGGAAAATGGGCGAGATTCCAGACCTGAGTGGCTCATCCCACGCTGGATTAGTACGAGTTATCATAGTATGGTGTCGCCAAAGAATTCACGCCAAATTACGGCTCTTAATCAGTTATCATCGGAGTAAGGTCGTGTCTTGTTCGGCAACGTCGCATGACAGTTGCAGGAGCCATTAATGAGTAATGGGCTAAATGTGCACCTCACGGAAACTCGTCCCTAGTCTTCCTCTGTTATCCTTCTAGGCGAAGCCCCGAAGACCATTCAAACAATTGAACAGAAGTCTCCAACATGGTTCAGGTGCGGGTAGGATGCGGTTGATCTCTATCTCGAAAGACTTGTTTGACGTTTCTAAGCGGACGATTGCCGCCAAAGTAAAGTCATTCGTTTACAATATACATACTTTTCAACTTGATTCGTGTTATTACTCGAGAAGGACTTGTTTTGACCCTCGTGGCTTAGTACTTCGGTTAGCGGTAAAATTTCCACACAATTGTAAGTAAATCTGTTTTCCTAATGGAAATGTATTGTTTTTGACGCTGTTTTCTCTAGCCAAGAACTGAATGCATCATGTAGTATGGGGTTGTGCGGAAATTTTACCCTATAATCTGTAGTTTTTAATGCTGACTGACACTTATTTTGTTAATCATTT